GGACATGCGTCTTTATTGTGATTAAAGGGAAATAGTGTTGCACTGATTTTGGGAAAACACAGTAGAGATTATCGAGGGATGGTACCTAAAAAGAATTCACCTTAAAAACCACTGTAGTAAAACTAGTTAAATCAACATTCTGTGGGTATTGATGAATCAATACATTTCTCCTACCCTAAATTGACTCCTGTCATCAATGATTATAAGAAAAGATGAGATATTTATCTGACATGTGTTTCCGGTTTGTAGGATATTGCTGAGGCACAGTCTAGAGTCCATTTATCATGGTTGGCGTCCATGGACGAAGCATTAGACCGTGAACACAATGAAACTGGCTGATATATTGGTTCAGCTATTTTCTCAGAGAAAGAGGTTAGAAAGTACAGGGCCTGATTACAGTTAAATGCATCAAGTGATTTTTAACATTTACAGGAAATATTCGTCATAGAATCGGTTAAGACACAAGCAAGTAATCATAAGAATGTGCTGCCTTTGTTTAAGGGATGACATGATCATGTATGACATTTCCAATTTTACTTTAAACCAGAAGTGCAGTACATGTGGGAACAACTTGCAGTTTAAAAATGAAAATCCACAGGTAAAACAATTAAGTTATATTTTTCAATGTTGAAATGTTGTTTTAATATACAGTTGTGGGATCGCACAACGTTACACGATGCACGGTGTGTGCACGATGGGCGAACGATAAAAAGCTGGACGATCATTGCTTGCGCACATCTGTGCGCACGATGGACGGTAGTTGTGGGATAACAATCGTGGTTGGTGTAAATTGAGGAATGCCTTAACAATTTATACGGTTTCGTGTTTAAACATATAAACTTGATGTTTACGTATGTTTCTATATTCTAGCAAAATCTATAAACTTATCTTTCTGTCTATACATTCTTATATTTAGAAATTGTGTTTTCTGTGTTTTTAAACAAACTGAATCGACACATGTAAAATAACATAACAACTTTGTACATGTACCTGGGCCGTAGTTTTCTCCCCGCTTGGGTCTCTGTGTGTCAGGCACTGGTCATGTAAAACTCCGGACACTCAAAGTTGTTATATACCTGTTCTGTTACCTTGGAGCCAAACCCATTCTTGACAGCTTAACGGTCGCTGTAATACTGTGTAACACGCATTGTGAAATTGTATAATCTTGATTATTGTGATGAGAAATTACACATATATACACAGTGAACATTATCGCATACGAGCCTTCCGTAATTTTGATCGACAAATGATACCAAATCGCACAGTTGTGTCGGAGAGAAGCGCACAACGGGGCGAACGATTGCTAAATCGCACAGTTGTGCGCACCATGTGTGGACGATGTGCGGACGGTGTGTGAACGATGTATGCACGGTGTGAGCACGCTAGTTTTGGTGCGTTGTGCGGTCCCACAACTGTATATACCAGCCCACAGGAACAAGAAAAATGTAAATCTTGACTTGAGGAAGGCTTAAAAGGGATGTGGAGATAGGGATAGCAGGTGGCTTTACAGGAACAAGACTTTAATGACATTTGAAAATAAACCTTTTGTTTTTCTAGGTTCTTTATGTGTATTGGCAGTGTGTGCAGTGATTGGGATCTGTATATGGGCTTGCATCGCTCTTTTGGTATTATTGATATCACACTTGTTACCTTCAAAGTTGGACTAAAAGAAAGCTACAGGCAAACTATCATTGTCTTGACTCAAAGTCATTAAAAACTTATTCAATCTGTTAAAAGATTGAAACACATTTGACCCCTTTGACATTGAAAGTGAAACGAGGACACTTAAGGTGAACAATCTTAATATCCCTTGAACCCAGAATGCAAGTTGCCAAATATCAGAAGATGACTTAAAGATTTATACACAATTGACCAGCCAAATTCTGGTCAAATATCATCACTCTGGACCTTTTGGTTATTCAGAAGAAGTCGTTGAAAAGATTGCAGCATATTTGACATCTGTTACCTTGAATGTGGGTGATGGTCATTGGTTTGAACAAACTTGGTAGCACTTCATCCTAGCATGCTACAATTGTACTATCTAAATATCATTATCCTGTACCTTTTCGTTATTAAGGAGCCTCATTTAAAGGTTTAAGACAATTGACCTCTGTGACCTTGAACATGGGTAAAGGTCATTCATTTGAACAAACATGATAGCCCGTCATCCCAGCATGTTACTGCAGGCCATATATCATCATCCTTGACTTTTGGTTATTCATCAGAAATCATTTCAAGGTTCCAACAAATTTGATCCCTGTGACCTTGAATATGGGTGAAGGTCATTTATTTGAACAAACTTAGTAGCCCTTTAACACAGCATGCTTCTAGTAAAATATCATCACCCTGGCCATTTTGGTTATTCAAAAAAAGTAGTTTAAAATATTTCAATATATTTGACTCCTGTGACCTTGAGAATGAGGTAATGGTCATTCATTTGAATAATCTTTGTATCCCTTAAACATAGCATGCTGCTTGCTTAATATCCTCACTATAATCATTTTGGTTATTCAGAAGTTGTTCAATGGTTTTGTAAGACAATTGACCCCTATGACCTTGAATATGGGTGAAGGTCATTCATTTGTTTAACATTGTAGCCCTTTTTCCAAGCATGCTACTCGCCAAATATCATCACTCTAGGCATTTTGGTTATTCAGAAGTAGTCGTTTAAAAGATTTCAACATATTTGATCCCTGTGACCTTGAATATGGATGAAGATCATTAATTTGAACAAACTTTCGTAGCCCTTCATGCCAGTATGCTTCTGGCTATTTATCATTATCCTGGACCTTTTGGTTATTCAGAAGAAGTCGTTTAAAATATTTTAACATGTTTGACCCCTGTGACCTTGCATATGAGTGAAGGTCATTCAAATGAACAAACTTGGAAGCCCTTCATCGTAGTATGCAACAGGCTAAATATCATTACTCTTGACATTTTGGTTATTCAAAAGAAGTTGTTTAACGGTTTTATTAGACAATTGAACCCTATGACCTTGAATATGAGTAAAGGTCATTCATTTGAATGGACTGTGTAGCCCTTCATCCCAGTATGCTTCTGGACATATATCATCACCTTTGGGCTTTTGGTTATTCAGAAGAAGTCGTTGAAAAGATTCCAGCATATTTGACATCTGTTACCTTGAATGTGGGTGATGGTCATTGGTTTGAACAAACTTGGTAGCACTTCATCCTAGCATGCTACAATTGTACTATCTAAATATCATTATCCTGTACCTTTTTGTTATTAAGGAGCCTCATTTAAAGTTTGGTTTAAGACAATTGACCTCTGTGACCTTGAACATGGGTAAAGGTCTTTCATTTGAACAAACATGATAGCCCGTCATCCCAGCATGTTACTGCAGGCCATATATCATCATCCTTGACTTTTGGTTATCATCAGAAATCATTTCAAGGTTCCAACAAATTTGATCCCTGTGACCTTGAATATGGGTGAAGGTCATTTATTTGAACAAACTTAGTAGCCCTTTAACACAGCATGCTTCTAGTAAAATATCATCACCCTGGCCATTTTGGTTATTCAAAAAAAGTAGTTTAAAATATTTTAATATATTTGACTCCTGTGACCTTGAGAATGAGGTAATGGTCATTCATTTGAATAATCTTTGTAGCCCTTAAACATAGCATGCTGCTTGCTTAATATCCTCACTATAATCATTTTGGTTATTCAGAAGTTGTTCAATGGTTTTGTAAGACAATTGACCCCTATGACCTTGAATATGGGTGAAGGTCATTCATTTGTTTAACATTGTAGCCCTTTTTCCAAGCATGCTACTCGCCAAATATCATCCCTCTAGGCATTTTGGTTATTCAGAAGTAGTCGTTTAAAAGATTTCAACATATTTGATCCCTGTGACCTTGAATATGGATGAAGATCATTAATTTGAACAAACTTTCGTAGCCCTTCATGCCAGTATGCTTCTGGCTATTTATCATTATCCTGGACCTTTTGGTTATTCAGAAGAAGTCGTTTAAAATATTTTAACATATTTGACCCCTGTGACCTTGCACATGAGTGAAGGTCATTCATATGAACAAACTTGGAAGCCCTTCATCATAGTATGCAACTGGCTAAATATCATTACTCTTGACATTTTGGTTATTCAAAAGAAGTTGTTTAACGGTTTTATTAGACAATTGAACCCTATGACCTTGAATATGAGTAAAGGTCATTCATTTGAATGGACTGTGTAGCCCTTCATCCCAGTATGCTTCTGGACATATATCATCACCTTTGGGCTTTTGGTTATTTAGAAGAAGTTGACACCGGACTGATGACGAAAGCTACGCCTATGGCATAATATAAGCTCACTTGGCCCTTCGGCCCAGGTGAGCTTATGATGTGGTATACATAACTAGAGGCCCAGAGGGCCTGTATCACTCACCTGGATGTTAAGCAATCATGACAAGAGATTATCAATGAAAGTTGTATGGCAAATAAGAACTTAGGGACAGAGCCAGTTCCTTGAGCAAATCCTGCCAGCTCATGTGTATCCAAATTTTCATGATCAGCAATTGTATATTTTATAACAGGATAGGGATCTCACAGGTTTCCATATCATAACCAGGTTTCCATATCATAACCAAAGTATTATGAATTATCTCCCTAAGGGAGTGGCCAGACCTCAGGGTTAATTATAATACCATGACTGTATTTGCCATTTTATGCCCAGCAATTGTATAATATATGGCTAAATGGTGGGGGTCTCATCATTTTCAAAGGCATGACCAATGAACAAGTCCTTTGGGGTGTGACAAGATCCCAGGGTCAATTCTTATATCATTATTGTATATGTCGCTTTGTGCCTAGCCATTGTATACCGGTATATTTCTATGGGGTGGGGATCTCAAACATTTAAAGTTATGACCCAGGGACTAAGTCCCAATGGGTGGGGCCAGACCCTGTGGTCATCATGGTAGGATTTATGTATTGGTCTCTTTATACTCAGTAATTGTATAAATGGTTATAAGGTGGGGATCTTAATCATTTTCAAGTTAGAAATATTTTTTGCTCCTCACCCCCTAATTAGATAGACAAAGTGATTGCTAGAATTACAAGACAGACAAAGTGCTTGCTAGCGTTATTAGATACACAAAGTGGCTGCTAAAGTAATTAGATATACAAATATGCTGATAGCATTGTTAGACAGAGTAGCTGCTAGCATTATGAATATAATGCCCTTAAAAGGCTTACCTTGGTTTTCTTGTGTAGTATCTGACAGAGGAAGCGTGGTTGGTAGTGTATCACATGTGCCTTTATCTGTAGTAATGTTTCCGCCAACAGCCTTTTCTGCAAATCACAAAATATTAATCAAATTTCTGAGAATTATCTCAATTGTTTTAATCTTAAATTGTTTAAAAGCAAAGTTTTTTACTTGCCCTTTAGTAAGCCTACCAAAAATGCTTTTTAAATATCAGTTGAAAGCTGTTCAAACCAATCCGTCAGACATAGAGGGAATGGCTTGTTTAGGGAGAGGAGATGTACTGTAAAAGCATAATATTTCATTGGGGATTTAATTTCGGTTATTTCAAAGTTTTATAAAAACCACGAAATATCATCCCAACAAAACTTTAAACACACGAAATATCAACGAACAAAAATATTAGAAAAACTAAATATTTTTTTTTACAAATCCATGGTGTTTTTTTTACATTTAGACACAAATCATACATTACGGTGTACTTATCGTCACAGGCGCAGAGGTAAAAACTTATAAACATGCAAGAGCGTGTCAATCAGGTGTTATATTTGTACCAAAGTTATTATTACACCTCATTTGCATATTGCATCATACACTTGTAGATCATTTGAAGTGGCAACACATCGAAATGCTGATAAAAAGATACAGGGTTTTAAAATATTGATTCCATGAAATATAATCCCAACAAATTTGTCCCTATACAAAAACAACGAAATTTAACCCCAACGAAAATATATGCATTTACAGTAGGAGAAAGTGAAGGTGGCTGAGCATTAATGGGAGACTAGGGGGAGGTAAATTGTTGAGTGTGATTTTTAACAGAAATTTTGAGATTTACTGTGAGTCTAGTAGACAGATAAAGATAAGGTGTGTTTTGTCCTACAGACAAAATGTGGGTCAATCCTACAGACAAAGACAAAATGTGAGTTTGTCCGACAGATAAATACAAAGTGTGAGTATGTACTACAGATAAAGACAAAGAGTGAGTATGTACTACAGATAAAGACAAAGAGTGAGTATGTACTACAGATAAAGACAACATGTGAGTCTGTCTTACAGACAAAGACAATGTGGGTAGGTACTACAGACAAAGACAAAGTGTGGGTCAGTACTACAGACAAAGACAAAGTGTAACTCTGTCCTACAGATAAAGACAAAGAGTGAGTATGTACTACAGATAAAGACAAAATGTGAGTCTGTCTTACAGACAAAGATAATGTGGGAAGGTACTACAGACAAATACAAAGTGTGGGTCAGTATTACAGATAAAGACAAAATGTGTGTCAGTCCTACAAATAAAGACAAAATGTGGGTCTGCCCTACAGATAAAGTGTGGGTCAGTATTACAGAGAAACAGAAAATGTGCGAGTCAATCAACTTTAGACAAGAAAAAAAAAGTAAATCTGTCCTACAGACAAAGACAAAGTGTGAGTCAGTCCTACACACAAAGACAAAATGTGGGTCAGTCCTACAGACAAAGTCAATGTGTGAGTGTGCCCTACAGACAAAGACAAAGTGTGAGCCTGTCCTACAGATAAAGACAAAATATGGGTCTATTCTGCAGACAAAGACAAAGTGTGGGTCAGTACTACAGACAAAGAAAAAGGGTGAGTATGTCCTACAGACAACGTGTGGGTCTATCCTACAGACAAGGACAAAATGTGTGTCAGTCATACAGACAAAGACAATATGTGAGTCTGTCCTACAGACAAAGACAAAGTGTGGGTCAGTACTACAGACAAAGACAAAGGGTGAGTATGTCCTACAGACAACGTGTGGGTTTATCCTACAGACAAGGACAAAATGTGTGTCAGTCCTACAGACAAAGACAATATGTGAGTCTGTCCTACAGACAAAGACAATATGTGAGTCTGTCCTAGAGACAAAAACAATGTGTGAATCTATCCTACAGACAAAGACAAAGTGTGAGTCTATCCTACAGACAAAGACAAAATGTGAGTATGTCCTAGTAACAAAGAGTTGGTCAGTCCTACATACAAAGACAAAATGTGAGTATGTCCTACAGACAAAGTGTTGGTCAGCCCTACAGACAAAGACAAAGTGTAAGTCTGTCCTATAGACAAAGACAAAGTGTGAGTATGTCCTACAGACAAAGTGTTGGTCAGTCCTACAAACAAAGACACCTAAAGACAAAGGCAAAGTATGAGTCAGTCCTACAGACAAAGCCAATATGTGAGTCTGTCCTACATACAAAGACAAAGTGTGAGTATGTCCTGCAGACAGAGTGTGGGTCAGTGCTACATACAAAGACAAAATGTGAGCATGTCCTACAGACAAAGTGTTGGTCAGCCCTACAGACAAAGACAATATGTAAGTCTGTCCTAGAGACAAAGACAAGGTGTGAGTCTGTCCTACAGACAAAGACAAAGTGTAAGTCTGTCCTATAGACAAAGACAAAGTGTGAGTATATCCTACAGACAAAGAAAATATGTGAGTCTGTACTAGAGACAAAAACAATGTGTGAATCTATCCTACAGACAAAGACAAAGTGTGAGTCTATCCTACAGACAAAGACAAAATGTGAGTATGTCCTAGGGACAAAGTGTTGGTCAGTCCTACATACAAAGACAAAGTGTGAGTATGTCCTAAAGACAAAGTGTTGGTCAGTCCTACAGACAAAGACAATATGTAAGTCTGTCCTACAGACAAAGACAAAGTGTGAGTCTATCCTACAGACAAAGACAAAATGTGAGTATTTCCTAGGGACAAAGTGTTGGTCAGTCCTACATACAAAGACAAAGTGTGAGTATGTCCTACAGACAAAGTGTGGGTCAGTACTACAGACAGAGAAATGTGTGAGTGTGTCCTAAAGACAAAGGCAAAGTGTGAGTCTGTCCTACAGACAAAGACAAAATGCTGGTCAATCCTACAGACAAAGACAATGTGTGAGTATGTCCTAGGGACAAAGTGTTGGTCAGTCCTACATACAAGGACAAAATGTGAGTATGTCCTACAGACAAAGTGTTGGTCAGTCCTACAGACAAAGACAATATGTAAGTCTGTCCTACAGACAAAGACAAAGTGTAAGTCTGTCCTATAGACAAAAACAAAGTGTGAGAATGTCCTACAGACAGAGTGTGGGTCAGTACTACATACAAAGACAAAATGTGAGCATGTCCTACAGACAAAGTGTTGGTCAGTCCTACAGACAAAGTCAATATGTAAGTCTGTCCTACAGACAAAGACAAGGTATGAGTCTGTCCTACAGACAAAGACAAAGTGTAAGTCTGACCTATAGACAAAGGCAATGTATGAATCTATCCTACAGACAAAGACAAAGTGTGAGTCTATCCTACAGACAAAGACAAAATGTGAGTATGTCCTAGGGACAAAGTGTTGGTCAGTCCTACATACAAGGACAAAATGTGAGTATGTCCTACTGACAAAGTGTTGGTCAGTCCTACAGACAAAGACAATATGTAAGTCTGTCCTATAGACAAAGACAAGGAGTGAGTCTGTCCTACAGACAAAGACAAAGTGTGAGTCTGTGTGTCCTAAAGACAAAAGCAAAGTGTGAGTCTGTCCTACAGACAAAGACAAAATGCTGGTCAATCCTACAGACAAAGACAATGTGTGAGTATGTCCTAGGGACAAAGTGTTGGTCAGTCCTACATACAAGGACAAAATGTGAGTATGTCCTACTGACAAAGTGTTGGTCAGTCCTACAGACAAAGACAATATGTAAGTCTGTCCTACAGACAAAGACAAAGTGTGAGTCTGTCCTACATACAGAGACAAAGTGTGAGTCTGTCCTACAGACAAAGAGGAAATGTGAGTATGTCTACAAAGACAAAATGTGAGCATGTCCTACAGACAAAGTGTTGGTCAGTCCTACAGACAAAGTCAATATGTAAGTCTGTCCTACAGACAAAGACAAAGTGTGAGTCTGTCCTATAGAAAAAGACAAAGTGTGAGTATGTCCTACAGACAAAGTGTGGGTCAGTACTACAGACAGACACAATGTGTGAGTGTGTCCTAAAGACAAAAGCAAAGTGTGAGTCTGTCCTACAGACAAAGACAAAATGCTGGTCAATCCTACAGACAAAGACAATGTGTGAGTATGTCCTAGGGTCAAAGTGTTGGTCAGTCCTTCATACAAAGACAAAATGTGAGCATGTCCTACAGACAAAGACAAAGTGTAAGTCTGACCTATAGACAAAAACAAAGTGTGAGAATGTCCTACAGACATAGTGTGGGTCAGTACTACATACAAAGACAAAATGTGAGCATGTCCTACAGACAAAGACAAAGTGTAAGTCTGTCCTATAGACAAAGGCAATGTATGAATCTATCCTACAGACAAAGACAAAGTGTGAGTCTATCCTACAGACAAAGACAAAATGTGAGTATGTTCTAGGGACAAAGTGTTGGTCAGTCCTACAAACAAAGACAAAATGTGAGTATGTCCTACAGACAAAGTGTTGGTCAGTCCTACAGACAAAGACAATATGTAAGTCTGTCCTACAGACAAAGACAAAGTGTGAGTCTGTCCTATAGACAAAGACAAAGTGTGAGTATGTCCTACAGACAGAGTGTGGGTCAGTACTACATACAAAGGCAAAATGTGAGCATGTCCTACAGACAAAGTGTTGTCAGTCCTACAGACAAAGACAATATGTAAGTCTGTCTTACAGACAAAGACAATGTGTGAGTGTGTCCTAAAGACAAAGGCAAAGTATGAGTCAGTCCTACAGACAAAGACAAAATGTTGGTCAGTCCCACAGACAAAGACAATGTGTGAGTATGTCCTAGGGTCAAAGTGTTGGTCAGTCCTTCATACAAAGACAAAATGTGAGCATGTCCTACAGACAAAGTGTTGGTCAGTCCTACAGACAAAGACAATATGTAAGTCTGTCCTATAGACAAAGACAAGGAGTGAGTCTGTCCTACAGACAAAGACAAAGTGTAAGTCTGTCCTATAGACAAAGACAAAGTGTGAGTATGTCCTACAGACAAAGTGTGGGTCAGTACTACAGACAGAGACAATGTGTGAGTGTGTCCTAAAGACAAAGGCAAAGTGTGAGTCTGTCCTACAGACAAAGACAAAATGTTGGTCAGTCCCACAGAC